GGATCCAGCCCTGCGTTGGGCTCCCTGCTCGACGGGAAACCTGCTTCTCCCTCTCCCATTCCCCATGCTTGTGTTCCCTCTCTCGCTGTGTCTCTGTCAAATAAATAAGTAAAATCTTTAAAAAAAAATAGGACCCCCCCCCCATGGAGTTGTGGGGATCACAGGCGACAATATTGGTAAGTGCTAGCATTAGTTACTTACAGCGGCTGTAACAAAATACCACAAACTTCATGGCTTCAAACACCACCAATTTATTATCTCACAGTTCTGGAGGGCAGAAGCCTTCACATCAGGTGTCAACAGGATTGTGTTCCTTCTGGAGGCTCTTGGGGAGACTCCATTTCCTTGCTTTTTCCAGCTAGAGGCCACCTGCATCCCTTAGCTCATGGCCCCTTCCTCCATCAGCAAAGCCTGCAGCATCTTCCAATCTCTCCAGCCCCGACTCTCTTGTCTCCCTCTTACGATAATCCAGGGTCATCTCTCCATCTCAATTTAATCCTTGATTTAATCACATCTGCAAAGTCCCTTTGGCCATTGTTATGGGCAGAGTTGTGTCCCTCAACTCATCTGTTGGGAATCCCACCCCCCCAGAACATGACTGCATTTGGGGACAGGGTCTTTATAAAGGTAATGAAGTTAAAATGAGGGCAGCAGGATGGCCCTCCTCCAATATGACTGGTGTTTTTTTTTTTTAAGATTTTATTTATTTGCAAGAGAGACAATGAGAGACAGAGAGCATGAGAGGGAGGAGGGTCAGAGGGAGAAGCAGACTCCCTGCTGAGCAGGGAGCCCGATGTGGGACTCGATGCCGGGACTCCAGGATCATGACCTGAGCCGAAGGCAGTCGCTTAACCAACTGAGCCACCCAGGCGCCCCGATGACTGGTGTCTTTATGACAAGAACATTTGGACACCACGGGAGGATGATACGATGATACTGGAAGAAGGCAGCATCTAAAAGCTGGGAGAGAGGCCTCGGACGAAACCCACCCTGCCTTCGGCTTCTTGCCTCCAGAATTGTGAGAAAAGACATCTGTGTTGTTCACGCCACCCAGTCTATGTGATGGTGGCTGGAGCAGATGAATCCAGCCATGTAAAGTGACATACTCACAGGTTCTGGGGGTTAGGATGTGCACCTCTTTGGGGAACACCATTCTGCCTACCATAGCACTCAATAAATGCTAGCCATAAGTAGCAGCTATAAGTAGTACATTATTTGTATTTTTATTCCATGGATCAAGCACTGCCCTTGGGATATCTTTTTTTTTCTTTCTTCCATGGCTGTCATATATATGCTTCTCATTTAATTCTCCCATCTTAAACTTTTTTTTTTTAAAGACTTATCTATTTCAGAGAGAGAGAGAGAGAGAAAGCATGAGCAGGGGGAGGGGCACAAGGAGAGGGAAAGGGAGAGAATCTTCAAGCAGACTCTCCGCTGAGCATAGAACCCGATGCAGGGCTTGATCCCAGGACCCCAAGATCATGACCCGAGCCAAAATCAAGAGTTGGACGCTTAACCAACTGAGCCATCCAGGCACCCCTCTCACATCTTCAACTCTTAATAACTAATCCTATAAAACGCTATTTTGCCATTGGATTTCCTTGGGGAGATGAGAACAACCTAAACATGTTTGTATTTATACTGGACTAAAGCATTCTTGCATGTTTTTTCATAGGATCCCTAGAGTGACAGGGCGGGAGCAGGTAGGGTGGGATTAGCTTCCTCTCAATACAGATGGAAAACTGAGTTAAGGGCTGGCCTGAGGTCACAGCAAGCTTGAACACTGAGGAGCCGCCTGGACCTGGGTCTTCTGGCCCACAGTTACAAGACCTTGCAAGGGTCTGCGGCTTTCTCAGCAGCTGAGCGAGCACAGCCCCGACGGATCTCAAGGAGGAGGTTGGAGCTCTGAGGCTCTGCTTCTCGTGTAAGTAGGGAATCCGAAGCTCAGGGACGGCCAGTGGTTTCCAGTTCAGGGCAAAGGCGAAGTAGAGGCCGGGGACCTAGAGTCCATGACCAGGGTCCTTCCTCCCAACCGGGGAGTCCTCGCCTTACCCAGAGGGTGGCCTCCCCTAAAGGGTGGGGCCAGAGGGGCCGGGAGAAGGAATCAGGCCAGGGCTGCAGAGGAAGAATAGGGCATCTGTCCTGGGTCCAGCCTGGTGTGCCTGGAGCCACAAGCGGCCCCTGTGAGTGGCCCCAATGCTTGCAAATGGCTAAAAATAAAATCCACCATGGAATTTTCTCCAAGGAGGAAACAGAAACAGAAAACAAAATCCCAGCCCTGAGGGAACACTTGTCCTTCTGCCTGTGTCCGAGAAGTCTGGGGGTGTGTGCTATTCTGGGCCACCGTGCTCACCCAGGCCCTTTGTGATGGGGTCAACAGGGGGGTCCCATCCAGGCCCCCCCTACTAGGGGACCTGCAGGTTTCTGAGAATGTGAGCATGAAGAGGGTGCCAAGCATGGCCCCCACTGCCGTACTGGGCACAGAGGCTGGCTCGGGTCCTGCTCGGGGGTCAGCTGGTGCTGAGGGGGAGGTCCTTCACCGGGACGGGGGGACCTGGTCAGCCTGCGTCTGCCTGCCAGTTCCTGCCCTCCTCTCTACCAGAGCCTGTTTCCTCTTTGGCAACTTCTGCTCAGCTCAACGGCCACCTCCTCCAGGAAGCCCTGCCTGAGTGTCCTAGTTGAAAGCATTCTTGCCCATTCCTGTTTTCCTGTAGCACCTGGTGGACTCCAGTACTCAGGGCTGATGGTGTTATTTAAACCTGCATAAAACACTTGGGGTGATCCACCGGGAGAAGGTGCCACCAGCCGAGGAGGGCAGGGCTTAGAACCTGGGCTTGCCTCCCCCTTGCGATAGGACTTGGGTCCAGGCGCACCTTCTCATTGAGCCTCAGTATCTTACCTAAAATCTCGGTAAAACGGGGATATTACCGCCACCCATGACACAGGATGTCACAGGGCCAACACACTTCAAGGGACACCGATAAAGGGGAGAAAGTTACCCCAAGTGCACAGACTGGGGACAGACTCAAGAGGGACGTGGTCAGTGTCTTCCCACGGATGCGGGCCCGCTTCGGGGGGCCGAAGGCTGACTCACTTGCCTCTTGTGGCCCCCAGGGAAACAGAATCCGGCTCAGTACAAACAAAGGGGAACACGGTGCGAGCATCAGGGTCCGCCTGGGTCGAAGAGGTTGTCTCATGGGGTGACAAGCCCGCAGCCTGTCGTAAGCCACTGGCGTCCGAGGCCAGCTTGCTCTTGGCCTCCGTGGGTGGTCTCCGAGGCAGAAGGAACAATCCTCCTCACAGGGTCACGGCAGACAGAACTGAACGTTATTTTCCAGACACCGGGCTGTTCCTTATTTCACTGTCACTTCTAGAAGGTCATTCCAGGCAAGAACCCGGCCTCTAACTAGGTCAACAGTGATCCTTTAATATCTGGGTCTTCTATTAGCTCCTGCGTCTACGGCTGTGAGCGCTTCTGAGACACTAATCTAAGGAAGTCAGAGGATGAGGACTCGCTGATCAGCAGATGGCATGGGCACCTCTGGGGTTGACCCAGCCGGGCTCTGGCCACCCCACACCCCCAGTCCCCAGGTTTTCCTGCATGCACAAACTTCAGAGTGACCACATATGCAAAGTATTGACTTCTAATCAGCTGCTTTCCTTTGGTCAAAAGTCCCCCAAAGTTCCCACTGGGGTCAGGAGCCAGAGGAGCCTCTCTAGTCTTTCCGGTCTGTGGCTTTGTGCGGGTCTGGGACCACGGGCCCACGCGATACCCTCCCCCACCCCGGCTTTTCCCCATCGGGTGGGGAAGCCGGGGTGGGAGGCCTGCTGCTGCCCTGGCCCCCTTGGAGACAGCACCCACTCCTACCCCGAGGGCGATCAGAGTACCTGTAATTCTACCATCAGATCACTTCATTTGATTTAGGGCAGCAAGCTTCCCACTGTGCTCTGCAGAACTCCGGGAGCCCCCAGAGTCCCTCAGGGGCTGGAACAGGAGAAAGAGATGGGATAACTAAAAGGATGGGGTGCCAGGCTCCCCCTTAATCGGAGCGCTTATACTCTCACTGGATTTCATGTTCACAAAGATGAAAAAACACCACTGGATTATGAGATTGAAAATACCTCTTACCTCTATTATCTGAGATTTGTACAATGAATGTGTATTAATATTGTGAAGAGGAAAAAAACCAGACAAATTGGAAACAACCTCCTTGGAGCACTCGAGCGGGCAGGAGCCTTAGAAGGCAGGGAGCACAGCCTCTCCTTTGCAGGTGGAGCCTGGCGGCCCATACAGAAAGCTACGTCCGTGTCTGCTGGCGTCGCATGGTTAGCTCACTAAGACTTCCAGACAGGGAGGCTTGGGAAGCCATTCCACGGGTCAGTTTATCCAACTGGCTCTTACCACGTTGCAGAGTGGAACGTTCTGGGAAAATGCATGGTGTCCTTACTATGAGTCCCTTGAGGGTCTGCAGGGGAGGGGCTGCTGAGAAGAGGATGGGAGAGCCCTCAAGGCCAGCTCTGGTGGGGGCAGGAGATTCCTCCAGCTCTCTGAAGCTGAGAGGCCAGAAGAAGAGAAGGGAGAAGTAGGTGTGAAGACTTGTCTGTCTCTGGCTTCCTTACAGCCAGCCACGGACAGGTAAGCTGGACATCACGGGCCCTGAGCTGGCCTTGCAGAGCCAATCTGGCTTCTTCATGGAGAAACAGGCATGAACGTGACCTCGGCCACGCACAGAATCTACAATACCATCCCTGGACACCAGGCTCCTGAGCGCTGGGCCATGGTTTCAGGGCAAGGAGGGAGCTCTGGATGAAAGCAGCCAGGAACCTCACGGAGAGGGAGGGTGGCCAAATGGCGAGACCCCGGGTGCTACGGAGTTTTGTGCTGAGACTCCCCAGTGGGTGTTGGGGCCCAACGTGTAAGACCGGGGGCTAGATTTGGAGCAGTGGTTCTTATAGATTTGGGCCAATACAAGTTTGTTTCTTTAATTGGAAGATGAACATGAAGATTGACATTTTTTTTTATTTTGCCAAGTAAAGACGTTATCAAAAATCCTATCATCGACTATCACCATCATTTCATTTGTACAAAGACGTGTATGGGGAGGATATAACCCCAGAGCAAAGGTTGATTCTATGAATGGAAAGGTTTTAGTTTTATAAAAAACTCACTACGATTTCCTTACTTTTATCACTTTGTCATGTGCTGGCGGGAATGGACCAGGTCTGGTTGGCTTGTGGGAGCCTCTTCCCTGGACAGATGGACCTGTGAGGGTTCTTCCAACTTGGAAGGGCTAGAGTTCTAAACTGTGGTGTCTGAAAATGTCTCTTTGGCCCCTCACACTTCCAAAGCTGTTTCTTATTCCTAGAAGCATAGCATGGCAGAGCTTGAGAGGTAAGCTGAGAAGGACTTCTCCCTGTCTGAGGGCACACCAGGGCAGAAAGAACTGTCTAGATCAAGAGGTGACAGACTTCTCCATAAAGGGCCAGATAGCAAATATTTTGCACTTTGAATCCTCTATTGCAACTACTCACCTCCCCCGTTGTAGGGCAAAAGTAGTTACACACCATGCAAAAACGAGTGGGTTGTGGCTGTGTACCAATAAAACTTCATTTACGGACACAGAACTTTGAATTTCATAAAAATTTTCATGTGTCACAAAATGCCATTCTTTTGACTTTTTCAAACCATTTAAAATATCAAAACCATTCTTAGCTTGTGGGCCAGACAAAACCAGGTGGCAAGCTGGTTTTGGCCTGCAGGCCATAGCTTGCAGACCCCCGGTCTAGACTGGTGTTCTCACCCTGAATCTGTCACACAACAGCGAGGTGTCTTTGGGCAAGTCACTTTGCCACGGTGAATGTCAGGCTCCTCAGTGCTTACAAACTGAATTCAGTCCAGATTCTAGACAAGGGGCAGGTTCCTGCCTGGGACTTTGTGGCCAGCTGCCTAATGGCTTCAACCTCGACCGAAGGAGAAAAAAAGTGGTCAAATACCCTTTCCTGGTGGTGCCACGTACCTTCTCCTGAGACAAGAGGCTTCCCGGGCTTACAGACTGGGGGTCGTCCCCTCTGCATTTTGGACAGAGCCGGTCCTCGCTGGTCCTGGGGATACATGAACAATCCTGCTGAGTGAAGCATTCATGACTTCCTGGCACTAACCTCCATCCTGATAGCTCCAAAGGCCTAGGCCTTGCCCGGTGTGGCGGCTGATGTCAATAAGCCGGCTCTCCACCATCCCAGACCCACGATTCCCAAACCTCAAAAGTACTGGGCACCCCCGATGTCTTCCGGTAGTTTGCTGTGAGCTTAGTTGGCAGCCAAACCTGACCTGGGGTGACCAGAGGCTACCATCACCCTTACTTACCCCACTGAGTGTGACTATTTCTGTTTCAGCGCAGAAACACTGATATGCTGGATTATAAGGGACTGCCCCGATCCCCACTGGAAGAATGACGTAGTAATGCACTGCCTCGCTTTTCTAAAACCTGAAAGAGTCTGAATTCCAAAATACATCTGACCCCAGGGGCTCAGGTAAGGGATCGTGGATATGTGGCTATATACAGGCTTCTTGGCTCCCTCTGTTTGGCTTTGGGTCTCTGATTTTCGGGAATGACAGATGACCACAGTCAATTAGAATGAGAAGGGGCCTCAGAGATCCCGAGCTTCTTAACCAGGAGTGGGTGTCAGACTCTGAGCAGAGCGAAAAGCACCTACGTGCTTTCAGAAAGCTCCCACGTTGATGCTGACCCACAGCGACAGCCACTGGTCAGGCCCATCTGACACGGCAGGAAAACAAGGCCCTGAGGACGCATGTGTTAGCCAAGAGTAGACTGAGTCAGGAGCCAGGCATAGCTCTTCAGGCCCGGGTCCCTCCGACACCCTGTCAGCTCCGTCCCCTGCTCTGCCACATTTTGGGGGAATGGGGAGGGAAGCCAAGAGACCCATGGCAAAAGCCTGAGATGAACCCAGAAACACCAGCTCGATGGTACAAGCAGTCAAGCTTTGCTCCCCACCCCCCCACTCCCCACCTGGCTTTTCCACAGCCACATCCTCTCCCCTCCTACCGGCCGCCCCTGTCTGAGCCTTTGAACTGCAAGCTTGCCTGATTCAGTCTTCTCACCTTCTGACGCTGTAAAGCCCCAAACAAAGGTCACACGGGGGCGCATGGCAGAAAATGGGAGCACATCTGCCAGGAATCTGACCTGGGGCAAGCTGACCTAATCTCTCCATTAGGCCTCATTGTCCCCATCTATACAATAGGCTAATAACAGTATCCACCTTTCCAGGCTCCTCTGAGGATCCAAGGAAAGAGTGCTTAGCATAAATAGTTGCTTAAGATGGGGATGCTGATGATCATATTAATGTCACACCTGAGTTATTTATATTATAAATATAAATATACACATATTTTTACATATTCTACACAATACGTGTGATATATATAATTCTATATATATGTAAAATGTGTATTCTATATAAATATAAATAGGTATTTATATGCAGACATATACAATATATTCTATAGAAATATATAAATATAGACATATATAAATATAGATATCCGTGTGTCCCCTTTAAAAGGGTTGCCAGCCTACAAGGTGAAGGGTGGTATTGTGGAAGGAGATGGATTTTATAGCAGTTTGTCGTTTACCAAGGGAGTTTATACTCATTTTTATAAGAACTTTTCCGCATACTGTTGGTTGGGCCTTGTCCCAACCCCAGGAGGTAGAAAAGAGCTGTGGAGGCATCTCACAGACAAAGAAGCTGAGGCTTCAGGATGCTGGGCACTCTGCACCAGGCCACACAGTCAGTAAGCGGCGCCGCTGGGTGCAGAGGCTCTCCCTCCCTCCACCCTGGCTGGCCTCTGCTGTGGGAGCTAACATCTTCCCTTGGCTACTTCTCCCTCCATCCCTAGAAGGGCCCATGCCAGGGATGACAAGGGAAGGGCGTGGAAACAGGCCCCGGGGGGTGAAGTCACCTGCCTAAAGCCACCAGCTCCTCTCCCCCCTGCCTCCCGTCAGGGACCCCTCCCTGACCCCTTCCCCCCCCTCCTCCAACCCCTCACCTCACGGTCTCAGAGAGACAGGCCGCACAGCAGAGGGCCCTGGGCTCTGTTGGGTCCTGGCAGACGGTGGGGGGGCACCCAAAGGGAAACTCGTTCTCATCAGGGGCTGGGTGGGGGCTGCTGGCTGGGCCAGACGCCATCCTGGGGTCCCAGGTTGGCCAGGGGCTCCCGGTCTAAGCAACTGTGGGGAGGAGACCAGCCCTGTGGAATCTGTGCTGAGAGAAGAGGTGAGTTCTGTCTGGTGAGCAGGAGTCTGACGACTTTATCTTTTCGTCGGCTTGTGTGGTTCAACGTCACAGCTGAGTCACAGCAGGGATGGGGCAGGAATTACCCTTCGTGGTGCAAAAAATCCCCTGGATGGTGACAGAACGCTTTAGGAGTGTCCAGTCATTCTTTAAAGTGAGAGAGAAAAAGAAAACAAGTCAGAGAGAAAAAAGAACTGGGCCCCAGATTTTCAGGAACTGCAATCAGAGTTTCCCTGTCTGAGCACCTTGGGCGGCTGCTGGCTTCCTCCTCCTCCTCCCTGGGGACATCAGCAGAGAGTCACAGCTGATGGCTGCTGTGTTCCCCGGGACCTTGAGGGAGCCCAGAATTCTCGGTGAGGGTGCTTGCTGCCCTGGTGGAAATCCCCAGGGTTCTGTCCAAAAATGCAAGTTCCAGGAGCTTTAGCTCTACCCTGGCCAGAGTCTCCCCCAGGTAAAAGTCACTTCCTCACAGTGGGTCTGGATAACCTCATCTGTTACAAAAAAAAAAAAAAGGACTTGTAACAGGCTGTCTCCAAGGCCCCTCTGGGCTCTAAGATGCTGGGACCCCAATGGCCAAGGCAACCCGAGGCAGCCGGGAGGCTTCTGATGTCCCAACCTTGCCTGTGGCGTTCCTCATCAGTCATGGTGACAACACCGGACCCTCCCCACTCCTTTGAAGCAAGGCCTCGGGACCATGAACTGCTCAGGGCCCTTCCCCCATTTCCCTACTCAGGAAGTCACAGGTGGCCACACACTTGGGTCAGGCGCCGCAACTTTCCCGGCCCTGAGAACAAAGCTCTAAATAAATACTAGGTCACAGGGAGCTGGTCCAAGCGACCTGCTGGGGATTTGACAGCAGGAATTTAACACATAGGCACAGAGAAAGGAAGTGCTTGGTCTGAAGTCAGAAGCCCCAGGTGGGGGAGTAGCATTAGTACCAGGTCTGAGGAACTCCAACCTCTGTTTCCTACCCTTAGAAGAGAGATGAAAGCAAGGCGACCTGGTGGTGCTTACAGAGCTGGGGTTGGAGGTCAGAGCATCCAGCCTGTTCTCTCATCTACCAAATGCAGGAGATGATCCCTCTACCTCTTCCCATCCTGCTGGATTTTGCATTCACAGTGGTTTCAAATCCCAGGCCTTGAGGTCTGACAGATCTGAGCTGGCATCCCAGGTCTTCCATGTACTAGCTGTGGGTCCTGGGACATGGTCTTTAACTTCTCCGAACCTCAGTCTTGGCATCTGTCAAGTGGGGGAGAATAATAAAGTCTACTTTACCTGACTGTTGTGGTGACCAAGTGAGGGGGTGGGCGGAAGCATCGCATGGCACACGGCCCAAGCGAAGTGCTTGAAAGGCTCTGACATTGTATCCCAGTGACGGCCACAGCCCTTCCGGCTCCTCAAGATCAAGGGAAAGAATTAAGATGGTAAATTATGCTTCTACAGCATTTCCACATCCATCAACTTTACTTGAGCCTTGTAAGTGGGCAAGGCAGGTCTGATGTCCTCTGACCCTAGAAAAATTCAACCGTCCCCCTTCCCTGGAGCGATATTGGGGCTGCTGGCAAAGAGGACATGGCCCCCTACCGCTGCAGGTGTAAATCGGGACCTCCACCCTCACCTGGGTCAGCTGTGGCCTGGCCCTCTCAGCAGATGACCTTGAGGCCTACTTCGGAGAAGGCCTATCAGAAAGGCACTCCCTTAACCACATACCCCAAGCCTGCAAACTTCCCTGCATCCCCACCAATTCCCTCTTTCCCTTCATTTGGCATAGAATGACACCTGTCTCCCCATCCAAGTTCTGGGTCCCTTTCTCCCTGGTCCCTGTACTCTCCCCTCTGTCTTCAATGCCTCCCTCTCTACCAGATCTTCCTATCAGCATCAAGGTATGCCCTGTTCAATAACAAAAGTGAAAAATAATAGCTACAGCATTTTAGTGCCATGTTAAGTACTTTTAAACACCCATCTAATCTTCACGTGACCCCTTTGAGGCAGGGAGTGTCTTCATCATCCCATTTTACAGATCAGGGACTGAGGCACAAACCGGTTAAGTGACTTGCCCAAGGTCTTACAGATAGTGTGTGGGGACTCCTGAACCCAGAGCCTGTACTCTAACCACACGTTCCACCCATATCCCAAAGTTCTCTCCCGCATCTACACTCTCTGCACACTTTAATAGAACTTGTAGAAAAGACTGTCTACGCACAGAACTCCTCACTCGAATCTCCAGAACCATCTCCCCAGGGTTCTCAGTGTTGGGGCCACCAGTGCCCAGGACCTGTCCCAGTTTCTGTCTAACCAGCATTCTGGCCAACACCTGACCCCATTCTTGGCCCTCCTTCCAAATTCCCTTCCTTCCCTTGGCTTCTGCACCCACTCCGTCCAGTTCTCTGGCTGCTCTCTATCTTCTCCTTGACCCCTTTTCTCTTCTACTCTGAACCTCCACTGGTCCCATCTCCGTGACTCCACCGCGGGGATCCACCCCACTTCTCTGGCTGCTCTTTATCTTCTCCTTGACCCCTTTTCTACTCTGAACCTCCACTGGTCCCATCTCCGTGACTCCACCGGGGGGATCTACAAGGTTGGAGTCTCTCTGCGCCGCGTACGCCCCCCCTCGCCAGCCATCCACTTGACCTTTGGGGTGCACTTGGACTAGACCCCTTGAGTCTCGGTGGTCTGCCCCCAGAATGGGGTTGGGCGCCCATCGCGACCCCAACCTGAGCATAGCCCCCTCTCCCCGCTGTCGCCCGGCTCGACGATGCCGGGTTGCCTGTGCCCCGCCCCCAGCCCCGTTCGTGCATTCCCCCCCCCGGGGCGGGTGACTGTCCCCTCGCCACCGCCACTGCTCCGGGTGCGTGCCCCGTGCCGAGAGCAGTGCAGCGCGGGCGACTAGTCAAGGATCGGCGAGCCCCCGGGCTGCCCCGGCTGCCCGCAGGAAGCGCTGGGGTAGGGAGTCCGGGGGCGGGCTCTGCAGCGGTGGAGTCCAGGTCACGGGCCGCGCGGGGAGGCCTGCACTGGGGGAGCCCCAGCCCGAGCGAGCGGGAGCTGGGGCG